TAATCGGGTTGTTGACTTTCTCTAACACCCCTTTTATAACTTTTGTGAAGTCTTCCTTCTTGTGTATTTTCAAAATATTGACTTATAATTAAAGAAACATCGATAATTGGTATTTTATTGTCAATTTTATTATCAATTCATCATCATTATTATCTTTATTTTCATCATCATCACCATCATCCTCATTAGACCGTGGGTTGAGGATCGAAAACGTTCAATTCTGTGACCCACCAATCCGGGCTACCTGGCTTTTGCACAAAAATGTCAATACTATTAAATTGTAATCTTATACACATCTAGATGTGTATAAGAGACAGCCTCCACCTGATTTAACTGCTAGACGATAACGTAGTGTCTATGCCTCTGAGGGCGCAATAGACACAAGAACCCCAGAAATGTAACAGATTGAGAGTTGTTACTCTAGTATCAAGTTGTTTGTGGTATTCATTGATTTGGTTGTTAGTGTTTGATGAGCACAGCTTGTAAGTTCTTGTAATTTTATAGCCTAATTGAGGAATTGTTTTCCAATTAGTTACTTGCTGAAGCCAATTATAGTGATCACAGCTGTCATTAAGCGGATAACATCATGTCACAGACCCTATACTGTATATGGAGCTTCTGTGATGTTGTGGTCCTATGAATCCTTGAATAAAATAATTAGCTGCATAAAGATGAGCATACAAACTGTACCTTCTTTACTTGATGAAACAATTAAATATCTACATTGCTTTTATTCACATTTACGAATTACTTTTGATATTTTTAGAATTCTCATGCCAATTTGTAATATTAGTCTAATTGGTGTAAGTCGGATCGGAGGAAATTTTTAGCTTCTCACATTTGAAAAATGAGTCCAGATTTCTCATATTTTGTGTAAAAGCGGGTCAATTTTTAAGAAAATGGGTCCAGATTATTCATATTCCTGCGTAAAATGGGTCAACTTTTAAGAAAATTGGTCCACTTCATTTGAATTTACGTGTAAAGTGGGTCCACCCTTTATATTGTCCCACACAGTTTGAAAATCCTAGCTACAGCATTGTGTACAGGTCTCTTATACACATCTAGATGTGGATAAGAGACAGGTGTATATCCAGTGGGTCAATTTTCTGTGTGCGTTACCTAGTCGTAATTGGTAGGCCCTATTAAAGTTTGCTACAGCAAGTTGCAACACAAGCATTTCTTGGCTCATCTTCAAGTGTTAGTTGCTAAATTTTAAGTATTTCCCATGATTCAACAGGTTATCTTGTCTTCTAATTGCTTTTGAGTTTGTCCATGATTTTTTTTTTAATTTCTTGTCTAAATTACTTGGTTTTGAGTTTTCCTTATAATTTATTCCAGGTTATCTCTTTCGAAATTGCTAAAAGTTTTACCATTTATTAACTTCCTGTTAGGAAATCAGTAAAGTGTGTGTGTTTTCCTCCAGACAGATGAATGCTGAAATTACCCATCCCATCAAAATCAATAAAAGTGGATGGTAATAACCACTGCAAGGTACATAAAATAATACCTGTCTCTTATACACATCTAGATGTGTATAAGAGACAGGTACTGTATGTACAAAACATGGAGAAAGAAGGTAGAAAGATACTTTTAGTTACTGTATGTACCGTACAGTAGTCAGGAGACAATTCATTAGGTGATAAATAGGAGGCCTAGTGTGATGGAATATTTTAACAATGCATTGTATAATTTTCCAGTAACATCTTTAAAAGTCTGATGTTAGGATATTGCAATATGTTTTGATAAAACAATGTAGAGTATAAATTGAAAACATATTAACTCAATAAAGGCTGACAAGGTGAATATATTTAATAAATAAAAGTTGACAAGGTGAAATAAATAATAAATAGAATTTGAAATAATAATAATAATCTTTACTTTACATGCTGCATGTATTTGAACATGCTTTACTAGGTCTCTTCCTCCGCCAATATCCCCAGAATTAAATGAATTAAAAACCTCATTGACCGTACAATCTTCTGGTATTTTCTTCGCGAACCAATCCTTGACAACTTTTATTCCTTCCCTGATTTGCATGACAATAAGCGGCATGCTGAACACAAAATCCAGCCACCACAGGGTGGATCGAGATCCTAGATATTTATTATAGAGAGAGCAAAGCTAGCGCGCAAAACTTCGAGATTTCTTTGTGGACATGCGCAGTATGAAAAAGATCGCCTATAAATAGATATTGTTACTTGGCGACTACTCTAAAGATCGAAAATCATTATTCACCAGCCTTAAAATTTGTTTTTGACGAACAAACGATCGTTTTTTCAATGAAAAAAATCTAGTAAAAAAAAAAAAAAAAAATTGCGATTTCGTCAAAAGAGATGCGCGCGGGGATGATAAACTAATCATTTTTTTTATGGGGATATTGAGACAATAATGTTGGCAATGAATCGACCCAGCATAAACAACTGACCATGAAGACAAATCAAATCAATCCACAATTATATAGCAACTATTTACTATTGTCTACCAAGAACAATTACTACACAAATTGAATCAATTCAGTTTTTTGGGGTGGGGATGTGCCCTTCAGTGACTGTGCTTAGACTAAGTAATTCAGGCTTAATTTGATCCTAATGTCTTCATGAAAAGAATATAACAAAATTATTATATTAATAGTACAGTATGCTTTATCTACATAGGAATCCTTAGACACAACATAACAAAAAATATATTAATTAATAGGTATCAAAACTGACTTAAGCAAATAATATTTATCAACACTTTGATGTCCAATTAAACATCACCACATGCATTTAATATTGTATTATACTGATACTACTTATTTTTCTTTTATTTTTTTTTTTGGAAAACAATCTTTGATTAAAAAGAAACAATTTAAATACATATTTGATCATTAAAACCATCAAAGTAGCATTGATAAGCTCTTTGAATTAGTTTGTTTAATTAATTTTCACAGACCACAGAATCAAGTGAATGGCTGTCTCTTATACACATCTCACTTGATGAACCACAGCCAAAGCAAATGCTCATTCTGCATCACCTGAAAGCTGAAGTCAAGAATTATAGAAGTGCTTCCTGGTCGAAGTCATGTTCTCCCATGTATTTTTTTGTAAAAAGACAATAATATTTTAAGTTTTTCCTTGTATGAACATTTATCAACAACACATTTATTTTCTTTATAAAAATTTGCATTGACCTTTTGAATTGCATTGTATTGTATTTTATAATGCAATATGAAAAGAAGAAAATAACAGAACAGTACTTGCTGATAAATGATAATGAATACAGCAAAACTTTCATTATTTCTAGTTTCTTTTAAATTGTTTATGCTGGTTGGCTACATTGATATTATATAATTGTAATATTTAACACATGTTTATAAGTGGATTGGATTGAACTCTATATTCAACTATGTTTAAAGCAGTTCTGTGTAGGTATATGATGTGCTACAGTGTTTCAATAATATTCATAATAAAGTTCAGATTTTTGTCATAAACTTCTTTCAACCTTGTGTTTACTGTTGTGTAGTTAATGTATATACCCAGTGAGTGATCAGAGAGATAATGAAAGTGCTGATGGGATGTAACTGGCTTAACTGAGG